CTGAGTTGACTTTGCAGGGCCCGTATCTGTGAAAGGCAAGAACCAATTCCTGAAAGTTGTTCTCTAACCTCTACACATCTGTCATGGCATTCCTCATCTCACCCCACCCCCACAAATAAATACATAAATATAATTAAAATAAAATGCTTGCAAAGATGCCAGGGTTCTGCTTTAAACACTCCCATGCCTTTGTGTTTACATAAGGTCAATATCTAGGTTTGGGTTTGTTTACTTGTAATTTGGCCAAGAATGAGAGAAAATTTATGGGTATCAACAGAACACAGAGGCAAAGCCTTCAAAAGGCCCAGCCCCAGTTGGGAGCCGAGTCCTTGAATCTCTGGTAGGTCTCAGCCTCTCCGGAACTATGCGCACAGCACACCAGCCTGCAGCCCGTCTGCAGCTCCTGCAATTCTAGGTGTAGTGTTCTTCTCCCTCGCACAGGGCCTCTCGCAGAGTCTCCGTGCAAAGTCTCCATGCAAAGTGTCTTTCAAGCAAGTTCAATTCAGGTTAGAAAATAAAATAACACACTTTCCCCTCTATCTTTTTTTTGAGAGGCTATGGGCAAATCATACTCTACACCCTCTTCCCACTTCTCAAGAGCTCCGATGTCTGGAAACCCACTTTCAAGGAATGGAAAGACACTGACATGCCAGGAGACAAGAGACATGACTCGCCTCCAGGTCACCGGACACTCTCTCAGAGTCACACTGCCGGTCCACAGCATGTGTGCATCACAGTAACCCTGGCACCTGGCACCTCGTGAGAGGTGGTTCTGGGGTAACGCTGTCTTGTGAACTCTTTCATCTGCTGCTCTCTCCTTGCCTTTAGCCTATTCTCCCTGGCACCGAGCCCAAAAGGACCAAATTCTCAACTCCTCAGATGTTTTTTGTTTTCTTTAAGGCTTTGCAGTTGCCAGACCATGAATGCTAGCTCCTCCAACACTCCCACCCAGCTCTGATGGAAAGCTGTTCCAGACTGTCTACAGCTATTTCAGTCGTGTTCTGCTCAAGGAACAAGGTCATTTGTATTTTTCGAAGTCACACACAGCTTCCTTTTACAATCAACCCCCATCACACACACACACACACACACACACACACACACACACACGCACACACACGCACACACGCACACACACACACACACACACACACACACACACACACACACACACGAGTCTAGTTCTTCAAAGGGAGGAGAAAAGAAGTATGTGTCCCATCATATAACCGCCATGGCAGTGGCAGGCAAGAATAAGAAGGGAAGGAATAAAAAAAGAAATAAGTAGCAGAGCTGAAAACAAATCCTACAGCGCCATGATGGGGGTGTTAATTGAACACAGACAAAAAGGGAAAGAGAGAACAAAAGAGTGTTAAAGAAGGGGGAGAAAATCAGTTTTTAAAACCTCCTTCAATGATTTGATTGAACTCGAGGGCAGATTACACTTGGTGAAAACGTAGCTGAAGATGCCAAAGAAAGCTCCAAGGATCTAAAATTAAGATTCACGCATGTCTGGAACTCACTTGCAGGGGTCTCTAACTCTCCTCTTTAGTGAACAAACCTCACTTTTTACCTTTTCCGAATATTTAAGCCTCTGTGATTTTTTTGACAGAGAAGTGTAAACCTTTTTAAAAATCTTTAAGTACTTATTAAATATTCTGGATCTTTTTATTTATTTCTTTTTTTCAGAAAGTCAGTGTGTTTGACTTTTTTTTTTTCTTCTACCCTTCTGTCCCATCAACCCATTTCCTAGACCATACAGACACAGGCAACGCTCAGCTATCGCTAACATGTCAGAGGCCGGGTGACAGTTCTTTAAAAGGAAATTGGATTGCAAATGACTCAAACTCTGTGCTTAAAGACTCTATGGTCCCAGACTACGTGTAGCGTAGCAAAAAGCCACATTTTAAAACTACGTTGCCCTAGCTCTCCACAAGGTTTGCTTGAGGCTGATTTGCAATCTGCACCCTCAATGTTTTGTCGGCATTTTTTTTAGCCTAGCGTTTATTTTTTAAAAAGCATAAAGTATCAAAATAAACACTTCCCCACACTCTAAAGCAAAACACACAAGTTCATCTACTTTTCAAAATCCCGAAGTAATTTCTGACTTAAATACCCATCAATCAACTATAATCAGGCGGTGCTGCTTTCTTTGGGTATTATGCACGTGTTTTTTGTTTTTGTTTTTTAAGTACCAAAAGGTTGATCAGACGTCTTAGCTAGTTTTTCTATTTATTTCAATCTTACAACTAAATCATTAACAAAACCCAAGAAACAAAAGCAGCAAGCCCCTCTGTACACACACACACACACACACACACACACATACAGCTCCTGGCCAGAGTCCTGCCAAGGTGAGCAGTGACCGGCCTTCTGTAAGGCATCAGGTGGCTTTCAGAAACACTCATTCCATGCGGTAGGCCTTGATAGTCCCAGTAAGAAAAGTCCCCAAACAGCGAAGAAACATGTGCTAACTGATCTTTCAAACCATCTTCTTCTTCTTCTTTTTTTTTTTTTTTTTCCACTAGCTCTGGAAGGAGAGGGAAACAGACAGAAAAGGGCAGCGAGAGACTTGGGCAACTTCACAGACACTAACATTCTCCAAGGGTCAAAGGTGTGGAAGATGTACGGGCAGCCCAGACCCCGAACAGAAGTCTCGGTGCTTGGAAATAAAGGCGCGTTTTGAACACAGTACTTTCTGCTCTACCACTGACTCCTAGGTCTGTCCCTTCCCTCAGTCTCCCAACACTCAACTATTAAAATGAAAGTGAGTTCCCGCTCCACCGACTCCGGTACCCCCCTCCATAGAACCTCATTTCGTAGCCCTCTTCACACAGTCACTATTTAATTGCTTCACAAACCATCCTTTAAAACATCCCATATCAATAACACCCAAAACTTTACATCAGATCATTTTTAAAACTCCAATCCACATTCAGTTGACGTAATTTAAACAAAACAAAAACAAAAACACATTATTTTCCAAACAGAAGAACACTGTTTTGGCGAATCCCACGAGGGCCCCACCTCTCCCATCCCTCCCCTCCCCTCCCCTACCCCCTTCGATGTAGCCAATATTAATCAGGAGGAAAGTCTTTATGGCGCACCTGAATCGGACCTCTGTTCACACCCACCCACTTTGATCTACTACCTCAGCAGGTTTTAATTAGGAGACCAGAATTAAACACTTGGGCCATGATGTACCAGTCAGTGACCTGACTGGTACCCTTCCGATTAAAAAATATGACAAAGTATCTTTAAAAAGAAACTCTCCTCAGTCCCTTGATTCCCTATTCCCCTTGATTGCGACTCTACATTTCATGTTCCAACATCAGCCAAAAACTCCAACCTGACTAGAAACAAAACCTGTGGTTCAGACTGAATAACCACACTGGAGACAGACGGGGGGGGGGGGGGGGGGAAAAAAAAAAGAAAAGAGGGAGACAAAACCAAAAAAAACCAAAAAAACCAACACTGAGCAAAAAAAAAAAAAAAAAAAAAAAAAAAAAACTAAAAGATGTGACAAACTGAGGAAACGCTCCTTTGATATTAGTATGCAGAATCAATACATCTCTTAAAAGGCGCCTCTCACGGCTAAAGCGACACAATTATCAGCTTTGCAATAAGGTTTGGTCCTGGCACGGCCACCTGGACTCAGAGGTGTAAGAAGCCTGTCTCAGGTGCTTTGTCTGCAATGTACATACTATCCAAGTATCGGTCAACAAAGGAGCTGCTTACTAATTACACAGACATTTGAAAGACCCGAGTAATTACATATTCAATCAACAGTGACCTCTTGAAAAGATTCTTTAAAAAAAAAAAAAAATAGAAAAAGAAAAAAAACACAGAGAAACCCAGAGAGACCTTAAAAAAGAAATAAGGAAAGCCACCATCCGTGCCCTCCCCCTCTTTTCCATGTGTAACTATCAATGTATATCAACTGAGCGTGCAATCATATCTATTGTCACTTTCATTCATGTCATGCCCTTGCTTATATGGTTTAGGTATGAATTATTGACTGTTATGCACCTTGTTGTAAAAAATAAATAAATAAATGGGACGGCAGGTACTTTGCTGGGCTTTAAAGTGGGTGAGAAAGTCTGAGCCCAGCTGTCGCTCCCCATTTGCTGCATGCACCCCTCAGTCCCTCCTGGCGCCCTGGCTTCAGATTGCCTTCTCAACTCTTTCTTCTTACAAGAGAGCGATTTAACCCACTTTGGGAAATTAAGGACCAAAATAAAGAAACAAGAGGACAGTTGCTTAAGTGCCCTTTCTCTGCGCATCTGTTGTTTAAGAACACCTCTGATTGATGACTGCGATTTTTTAATTGTTGCTTTAAAATTTAAATGCCCTCCTGGGATGTTATAAGTGTGTTAGTCTATGATATGAGGTCTAGAAAGTAGAAAAACAACAGAGGGAATGAGCTCAGGATAATATAGTGCCCTAAATCCAAAGAGCATCCCTGCTAGAAGAAAAAAAATAATCTGAGGCCATTCAAAAGCCAGTTCACCTAATGTTGAATAGTATATTCCACAAAGGTATCTGAAGACACTCTTTTGAAGAAGCTCGAGTTGGTTACTCTGTGTAAACACAAAGAACAAAAGTGGCAAAAAGAAAACAGTTTAGCTCTCACTTCCCTGCCTGACAGCAGGGGTGAACCGCATGGGGGCACCGGGCAGTGATTATAGGCAAAAATATATTCCTTCAGGAAAAGGACTTCTACTTTCGTATTTTCCCCCAAAGGCATACCATTCTAGCAATTTGCCGTCAGAACCTCTGCTTTAGCCCCAATTTCAAAAACAGTTGAGGCCAGATTTAAAGAAAACATACTGCTTGAAATCCACTGTCAGAGCTGTTTCCCTTTAGAAAAAGCAGAAATGTCTTCCGTGGTCACACTTGCGTTCTAAAATGTTAAGATCCCAAGAAGAGTAGAAGGGCTGCAGGCTCAGTGATTTGACCAGCCAAAGAAAAATGCCCAAAGGTTAGATTTTTTTCATTCCTACCTGTTTTTTCTTTGATTTCACACAACACATTAAACAAGGCGGGCTTCATTCTGTGGCAGTTTAAAGCATGTTTTCTGCAAGAAAAAAAACAAAAACAAAAAAAAAAAAAACAAACACAACAGCTTAGGTGGACACTCAAGATCAAACTGATAAGGTACAGAGGGAACCTGAACATTTAGGTAAAAAAAAAATTATACACCAAGCCTAACTCTGTGGCACACTTCAATTGTTTTTATGACTTAATATACAAAGTCCCACCATAGGAAAAGAAGCAATGTTAATTAGCAGTGAGAGTAGGGATTTAACTACAGAGCAGAAATAACCTAAATTATGCCCATTAGGAAAAGGGTTTTCTTTCTTTTCATCTTTCTTTTTGCCTTCCCACCACCCTAACCCCTTGATAAGTAGCTAAACCAAAGTGGAATTCTTCAACCAAGAATCCTGTCGCAGACAATGAATGCAGCAAGGCCAAATGCATAGGTTAACAGTTCTGTACCATCTCTGCAAGGGCCATAGGCTAGGAGCTATGCCTCTGTGTATGTGTGTGTGCGCGCAAGAGTGTGTTTTCAAATTCAATTCATCCATGTGTTCGAATTCATTCTGTAGATGCCCCTGTATTCTCATAAACATAAGATGCTTGAAAGGTCTTGTGAGTAGAACTGTCAATTTATAAAATTTCAGTCCCCAAGTTAAAGAGTATGGAAATGTGTTGCCAGGGGGCAAACATACCCAGATGGGGAATAAATTCATTTCTGTGTGTTCACATTATGGCTCTTGTGCGCACACAGCTTATTTGCAGGTGTTGAAATTCAATTATTTACAATTAGGACCTTGCACCCACTGGGGAAAAAAATAAATACAATTTTGCCTTTTAGCTCAGTGATTTACCTGGTTCCTGTGGTCGTGCATGTTTGTGCTCGGAATGCACTTGAGGGACAGAACAATGCCCTTCCTTCTACTTTATTATGGACTCACTTAGCAGAAGGATATTGTTTTGGAAACAAAATACTGATCTTATCAGCTACTAGCTAAGGGAATTCTGTTTACTAACTAAATGTATGTATAAAGATAAGCAGAAAACCCTGGCACTCAAAACACATTCAATTATTTTTCAATCAGTTTTAAAGTTAAAAAAAAAAAAAAAAAAAAAAAGACACCCTCCAGGAGCAGAGCAGGGATTGCAAATATACTCTATAGTGTGTTGCAGGAGAACAAACTCAAAACTCAAAAGGCACACATACACATCATCTGAAACAGCTTACTTTCTGAATCAACAAATATGCACTACAAAAAAAATGTATAACTAGGAAGAAGGAAAAAGAGCTTAAGAGTAACTATTTACATTGTTTCAAGGAAAAAAAAAAGAGGTTGGCAAATTATTTCTTAGAAGGGGTTAAAAAAACAGACTGAAAACATTTCAATGTATTTAAGATCTTTTCTGGGTCTTTAAAAATACTTCCCACTCATCCTTTTTCTTCCTTTCTTTCTTTCTACACAGGCCAAAAATGCAGAGACTAGCAGCTCCATCTAAAAGCTTTGCTTCCCCACACTACACAAATGGGGTTCCAGAGAGACAACTGGATTCCTCCCCATCCCCAAACTGCATCTGATCTTTCTCAGCCTCTAGGCCATTAAAGAGGGTACCCGCTGAGAAGGGTTTGTCCTCAGCTTCACAAAAAGAGAGACCAGAAAAGTAGCGAGGAGCCAAGCTCACTGGCCTCTTCACTTCAAGAACTTGTGATCAAACCAGTTTATCAGCGGTGTCCGTGTGTATTTTTCTGGGACAACGTTATGGAGAAATCTGTTCCAATTCAAGAGAAAATTGCTAGTGGGGAGCCTCTTGCTTGCCATACTCATTAGCTTTTCCTCAGATAATAACATTCAAAAAGAGCACCAATTAGTTATTTAAAAAATCTCCCCCCCCCCCACAACATTAAAAGCATGAAAATAGTTTTTTGAGGGGAGGGGGTCTTTTAACATTCTCAAGTTTTCAGGCGCCCTAAGCCTTAGCACTTTTAAGTTTACGTGTTCCATGTGTTAGCAGCTCAAATGAGTATAATCCATAACACGGGTGCTTTTAGCTGCTTCCTCTTATTCTCTCAAGGCTCTGTTTCTCTTACATAAAATCCATATTCTCCATATGTAACTAAGTCACATAAGGTCTAGTCATTTTGTAATATGTTTAAAATGATTCCAAAGCAAAACAGAAAAGTACTTCGAGATTTAACAAAGCTGAGTGATTGTGTGGACATATGTGGCCACTGGATTTTTTTTTTTTTTTTATCCTTCCTATCTGAGCTGGGCCTTAGGCAAACTGTTAGTGGTTTTGCCACTTAACCTGTATTTTCATTTTGAAAGAGGATTTGCTGTAAAAATACTGGAGTTGAGAACTTTGTCTACCTGGTGGGGGGTTCAGTTAAGGAAACCCCGGTTTTATAATTATCTTTCTTCATATCCTGTCCTACTGAAATACATAAAAATCATTCTTCCATTTCAAGTTCCAGGATCACTCTTAGTGAGCCTGGAAGAGGCATGAGACAGAGAATAGCCTTAATATTTAATCGCACCCCTTTATAAAAAAAAAAAAATCACACATAGCTGTCCCTGTCCTGGGAAGGTGAGAACACCAACTCAAATTAAGAGACAATAAGGTTCAACTAAAAATCTGAGCCTCTTAAAACTAACAAACTGCACTCGGAGAAGAATTATCTTTCCTTTCTTCCCATTTTCTTTTTCTAAAAACAGGACGGAGTGACTGCAAGATATTTTCTTACTATCTGACACCTACTAATACAGAACTACCCTGCTTTTTGTTTGTTTTGAGTGGAGAGTGAGAAAAGAGAAAAGAATAAATAAAATTATTATTATTATGGAGGGGTAAGTTAAGAAGGCAAATCAAACTTGCTTAATTAACTAAGGAGTCAGTGGAATCTGCAAAAAAAAAAAAGTGTTCTTGAGACATTTTATTATTATTATTATTTTGTCATGTTCCGAAGTCTCTCAACTACAGAGGCATGGAATGCCGCTCGGAACTTGACAATTCTGCTTCCTTCATACACTTTTTTAAAGCTGTAAAAAAGTGCCGAGGGCCGCTTTCGGATTAGTTGGCAGTATTTTCGGCGTGGCTGCGTGTTTGTGTGCATTCATACAAATACCTCTAACAGACACACACGCACAATATCTACACACAGCCCTATCACGGCACGGGCGACCACACTTTCGATAACAACGCTTCTTTAAATTTTACTCCTCCGCCACAGAGTTGCTTGTCAAAATGAGAAGAGAAACAACATTTTAAAAGAAAGCGCTGTGGTGATTCGGTTCCCATTGTTTCCCCCAGCGAGAGGGAGGAAAAAAAAAAAAAAAAAAAAAAACAAGAAAGGCAAAGAAAAGCCTCCATCTCACCTGGCCTGCGCTTCATCCAAACTCTGGTCTGTGATGGTCATAATTTGCTGTAAAATGTCCCCGATGTCCTGCTTCCTCCCGCCCTCCCCCTCGGTCCCTCCGGCCCCATCCTGCAAGTGCTGGGACAGGCCGGGGTGTCCGGCCATCCCGACCCCAGCGTGGGAATGCATCAGCCTCGGCTGCTCGTCCATCTCCGAAGGCTCCGGCAGCCCCGGCTCTTCCTCTTCGGCTCCTCGGCTCGGCGCCTGGGAAGCACCGAGGCTTTTTATCCTTCAAGCTGTCTTCAAATCCTTTTCAGGATAAACAGGGACCAGGGTTTAAAAAAAAAAAAAAAGAAGAAGAAGAAGAAGAAGACCAAAAGGGAAAAAAAAAATCTCTTTGCCTCTTTAGAGGATGGTGGGAGGATGGGGGGGGGGGGGGGGGCGGGAGGGGGTTGCGGGGGGAGGGGGGGGATAAGGGCTGGTGGGGAAGGGTGTTGACTCCAAAAAAGCAAGAAAAATAAACCACCTTCCCACTTGGCGAAAAGAAATCAGAGCTGCCTTTGGGTTTTTCAGTCCGATCTCCTTTACAAGGCAGAAATGGGCTCCCGGCGCTTAAATCTGTGGCTTAATCCTTTTGCAAATATGCATTGATCGGGAGAAAGGAGAGGAAGGCAGGGGGATTGCAATGCAAACTTTCCCCCCCACCCCCTGCTGCCCCCCACCCCCACTCCGGGCCAGAGTGATCTCAAAGGGGGTGGGCTGAAGCAGAAGCCAGATCTCCCCCAGCCGTGGCGGCAGGCAAAGCCCAAGCTCTCTCCTCCTCTGTGTCTCTGCAAACTCCAGCAGCCCCGTCAGCCTCCTGCTTTTGTTTAGCCCAGGCTCAGGACTCCAGAAACATATACAGAAAAACCACAGCCTGAGAGGAGGAGGAGGAGAAGAAGGAGGAGGAGGAGGTGGAGGAGGAGAAGGAGGAGGAGGAGAAGGAGGAGGACAAGAAGGAGGAGAGGGGAGGGGGCCGAGGGAAGGGGGGAGGGGGCGGAGAGGCCAGGAGGCGGGGGCCAGACGCGGGAGGAGGGCTTTGGAACCCCGCCCCCTGCTGTGATTGGCCAGCTCGGAGAAACGGGCTCCTCCTCCCCCTACTTTCCACTCTGTTCCTCCTCTTCGGCCTCCTTCAGCTCCTCCTCGCCCGGGTGTCTTGTCAATCAGAGTTCAGAGGTGGGTCGGGAAGAAGGCGGAGCTAAGAGCCAGTCTCCAGTTCTTAAAGGTGCAGAGGGACGCCAGCTCCGGCTCCTGTCTTCCCTGCTTCTCTTAGGCTGCGTCCTTGAGGAAAACGTGGCTCTACTTAAATGCAAGACCGTAAAATTAACACGAAAGCACACAGACGATGTGGATCCCTCCGCCCCACCCCTAGTTCGCCTACGCGGTGATGGTGCGGTAGTAAACTTAGTTCTCTGAAATTCTTAGACCTCGGGGAAACTGTTGAGAGCAAAACTTTGCCATATGACGTAGTTAGTAAATAAAACCGAGCTGCTAAGATAGTGAATAATGATCTCTAACAGATGAACGTCGAGATAGTAGGTAATTTTCAGAAACTCAGCTCTATGCCAGTAAAAAGGATACAAATTGCCATTTTTGTGGCACGAATACTAACCGAAGTGTGGACTACGACGAAACCAAATAAAATTCAAGAAAAGTATTGATAAATAAGTTCAACAAATGAAACGAATTCAACAGCTCTCCTCCCCCTGAGGGAAGTTGGTTATTTGGCTTAAACACTTAATAAAGGATTGCGTTATCACAGTCTGGTTCTAGTTTTTAATATAGTCTAATAAGCATTAATAACGGAAAAGGAGAAAACTGACATTTATTGAATGCCTACTACGCACAAAGTAATTTACTTGAGTTATTGTATTTAATCCCCAAGACATCTCTGATTTATGGATTAGTATTCTCAGTTCACAGAGAGGAAACTCAGAAAGGTGAAAGAATTTGTCCAGCGTCCACAGTTATGAAGTATCAAAGCTGGAATTCAGACCCAAGTTTGGCTCCCTCCAAAGGCCTGGGGTATGTGTAGTAGGCCTCAAATTCAACAGATACCTATGAATCTTCTAAAAGTTACTTGTGTACTTGTGTGCCTGTTGTTTGTCTAGCTTGAAAACAGACTTAAAACTTAGAAAAACAGATATTAAAACGGGGGGGGGGTGCTGGGATTAGAAATGAATAAACGACTTAAGTAACTCCAATAAGGAATTACTGCCTGGGCAAATCCACAAACTTACCTTTACTAAAGTTTTCTTTAGTCCAGCCAATAGGGAGAATCTAATTTGGCACATAGTCTGAATACCCATAAGATAAAACAGCACACCAATCACTTAAGCAAACCTTGGACTTCTTTGGAACATTCTTTGGTGTAGCCGGCCATTTTCCTGGATATAGCCAAAGAATGTGCACTGAGCGATCTCAGCATCACCAATCAGCAGAATGGGAAGCCACCTTCCCTGGCACTTGGAGATCCTCAAATAGAATGTTATTCTTTTCATCAGTCATTATGCAAACGTTTGGCAAGATAAGGGGCCCTTAGGGAAGCACTTCAAAGCAGCTCTTAACATGCTCATTGGCAACCGTTGGTATAAGGGCATACAATAGTGGGTATTAGCTGTCCTGGCAAATCCATATTACTTAATCGAAATGGTTTTTTATTCACACATACACCTCAACTTGTAAACTGTTGGTTTAATCAACAGTAACTAGAAATTGAGTAAAACTGTATACTTGAATCACATGTCAATTTCAGTCCATGTGCTCTCAAACAGCCCTTGCCTCTTACAGCATGAGGTTGGATCAAAGCCCTACAAGAAATCAGTTTGGAAGCAATGGATTCTGAGTTGTGAATCTAATAAAGTGTGGCCAGGTCAAGTATTGAAAAAGGTACCATTAATGTGATAGGATCAGTATCATCTAGGATCATTCTGATAGGGGATGTTAGAGATGGGTACCCTATTAGTAGCACAAATGACTAATATTTATTGTGGACCATGCTAATTTTTTTTTCTGTTCAAGGTTCTTAGGTCATTACAACTATCTGGTCTCAATTCTTAGGCTTTTGACTATGACTCCATATTGTTGCCCAAAATACATTTCTCCATAAATAAACTGTATACTGGAGAAACCAGGCACTACAAAAGAGAGGAAAGAAAGTGAAAGCCCATTGAGGGCAAATTGAAGTGGGCTTTGAGGTGGTCTGAAGGCAAAATTGGTACTGGAAAGCAGGCAGGGTTAAGAAATGCTCAGGGTGCAGACACGTTGGAAGTCATGGCAGTAGGTATGACTGCACAGGAACTGGCTAGTAGCCTTATGCTTTTTCAGGTGGACACTGAGGTCACATGAGTGACTGTTTCAAGCATGGGAGAAAGAAGCACGGCTAGTCATAGAGTTGTGCAAACCAACAGGTCAGTGGTTATCAGGTTGCCCAAGTTGTCTGAGAAGGGCACACGAAGCTAAAATCCTTTAGCACGGAGGCCGTAGAAATGGGAAGGCAAGGACAATGCTGAGCCCATATCACTGTGACAACAGACTTAATGTGACTGAGAAAGATAAAGAAAATGGCCTCCAGCTTGGAATGTAGCAACATCGATAAAGTCGTAATTATAACTGGATACAATTTACCCAGTGCCGCGTCTGTTTCAGGCCTTTAGACCACATTACCACACAATCTGACTAATTAAACACCCATTTTTTTAACACCTCCCTATTCTGTAGTGAAGAAGCAAAGTTCCATCAATTACTAGACAAATACAGTGGGGTGTCACTCAGTGACTGATTGGAGCGCGTTCTATCTTTTTTTGGATGTATAGATGTAGAATGTATTGAACACAACTAAACTGTTCAGTCACTAAGTCATGCAATCTTATGTGACCATGACCATATACTGTCTTCTGAGGCCTGATTGTAAATATGTTGCAAAAGTTCTTGTTGTTGTTGTTGTTGTTGTTGTTGTTTTTAATGCAAATAAGGGAAGTCAATGGCAGAAGACACCTTAGGTGAAATAAAATGGCTAGGATCGCATTAGGGAAGTTATAAAAGTAGGCTCTGAGGAAAAAAAAATTCTACATGCAGTTTCCCAACTTTATGAACCGTGACAGAAGTTGGATACTTGTTTGTTTGTTCCATACCTGGACGACACTTTACTTAGAGTAGCTGTTTTATAAATACGTGCTTAAAGAAATAGCAGCCCTGGTAATAATGCTGTACATCAGAAGAGATGAGGCCTGCTGAGGCCTGCTCTTCGGGTGGGAATCACTATCAAAATGTTACCAAGGAACAAAGCAGCTCTCAGTCTAACGTAATTCTAACATGCTACAGGCTCCTCCCACCTGGCTCACCTCTGTGACAAGATTGGGTGACAGTAAGGGGTCTCTTTCACACTTCTTCTCACCTACTAGAACACGCCTTTATCCGCCTTCACTGAAGGAGAAAGAGAACAGTGTGGGGAATGAGTGGAAGGACTCCACTCCATTCTCCAGCAAACCAGGACATGGATTTGTTGGCATAGTCAGAGAGAAATTCATTTCCACATGGTGTTGTATCACTTAAGCAGACACTAGCTTCGGCACTGTAGTGGTTTGAATGAGAACGGCCCATTGGCTCATAGAATTCAATATTTGATCACTAGGATATGGCACTATTTAAAAGGATTAGGAGGTATGGCCTTGCTGGAGGAACTCTGTCGCTGGGCATAGGCTTTGAGGTTTCAAAAAGACCATTCTGAGCCCAGAATGATCTCTCTCTTCCAGCCGATCCAGATGTAGACACCTCAGTTCCTTCTCTAGCACCATGTCTGCCTGGGTGCTGCCAAACTCCCTACCTTAAAGACAATGGACTCACCTTCTGAAACCTTAAGCAAGCCCCCAATTAAATGGTTTCTTTTGTAAGAGTTGCTGTGGTCATGGTGTCTCTTCACAGCACTAAAGAATTGACTAAGACATGAATATTTCTGATTATATTTTAATTGGCCTGTAAGTGTTTCTAACTCTCTTATCTATGTAGGGAAAGAAGAATTTCTCTCCCTTAAAGGGTCATAGCCACATCAAAGAACCATAAGTGACACTTAATGTGTCCCATTGCTCTGCCCAAGCATCATTCTCTTTTTGGTTTCTTACCCATTTTTTGCTGTTCTTGACCTTTCCACTCACTCATCCAACTTTACACTTCTGTACACCTGGAATACTTTTCTTCCTTTTGTTTTGTCCAACCTTTGCTGATGTGTTCACAGAAATCTCCTAGCTTGGCCTTCTCTCTGTTCCTCACTGGGCAGTCTTTAAAGCTGTGGTGGGACTTACTTCCTTCTGAGTTAGAGCATAAAAATTCTAGAACAAGGACTCTCAACCTAAGCTCAA